CAAAAAACATTTAAAAAACAAACATGTTTCATTGATATATATACAAAAATGAATATTAGGAACTATATTTATCAAACATTATACTGGGCAAGTAAAAATTGTTTCTGGGCAAATGAAATGTGAAAGTCGGGCAAGTGGTAAAAATCCTAAACGTCGATTTCTTTCCAAGGATCTGCTGTAACCACTCCTCATGTTTGGGGGTCACTGCCCCGAGGGCCCCAATGACCATGGTACTACTGATGCCTTGACCCTTTCAGATTTTCTCCAGCTCTTCTCTGAGCCCCTGGTATTTCTCCAGTTTCTCCAGTTTCTTTTTCCTGATGTCACTTGGTATTGCTATGTCAACCATAACAGCGTTCCTCTGCTTTTTATCTATCTGTACAATGTTGGTTTGCCGTTACCATTCAGTCCATCTCTTTGCTTTGGCGTTTTACACTACATCCTAATTTCAGCGTGCAGGGGCCAGCCCTCCTTAAATCATAGCGGCCCCAACACTTACTCTCCGGCCGAAGCTCCTACTGTACCTGTGACAGTAAATAACTCAAGGAGCTCAAGAAATAATCCAATGTTAACTCCCTAAATGATGCATGCAGTATATATACCCTTTCCTTGTCATGCACATCCTTGTGACAGTTGGCATATGGTGTAATTTTATATTTCTTCAAACTGTAAAATCCTTCCAACAAACTAAATTACAAACTAAATTACGATAAATACGATGTTCCTCTTATATTTGGTGAATTTTTATTTCATTATTTTGCAAAAATATGTTGCGGTGCATGATGGGGTTTTGCATCTAAAGGCCCACGTTTTCCCCTCTTACCTGCATTGTTGCCAGGTTGGGATGTTTCCCAACCAGGCAGTTTAGTATTGGCCGTTTATGGGAAAGAAATGTTTTTCTTTAGACTTATTGCCTAAGAGATCAATATACTTTGGTTCAAATTGGGAGAGATTTTGTACATCCAGGCGGTTTCTGTTTGGGCTGGTTTGGGCTGGAAATGTTTGTCAGTGACATCTGGCAACCCTGCTGATGTGAGTGTGGACGTTACTCAGCAGCAGTCACTGTTGTGTCTGTGTTAATGACCAAACCCAGGAAAACCGCATTATAGAAGTCTTGGTGATGGTTGTTGTGTGATGCTTGAATTTAGATCGGTTAATCCACAATGTCTATTCGTATTACGTACGAAGTTTATCATGTTTCACATTTGAGGCCCACACATTTAACTGTGCTTTTATTGATGGAATGCCTGTTTGGGGGTCACTGCCCTGGGGCCCCAATGACCACGGGCAGAAAGGTCCATAAAAGTCCACAAAAAACGTGTCAATA